TGACATTCATTCTTCTGCCTGAAGGGATAATTTAACTAGTGAGTTATCACATAAGTGACTCAGAAGGTGTGAGCTTGTCTCTCACCAAAAACCCCAGAATGTAACCACTGCATTCCTATGGGGCCCATTCACCATTTTCGACCAGAATTCCTACTCATACTCAGTGCTATCTCTGGGATGACTCGCGTTTTGCAGTTGTTCTGGATTTAAATCCAAAATTGGCTGATTACTAGCCACACTGCTTTGAACAGATTTTCCTACCTTCTAAGCTTAAGTTCTTTATATTGTGGGGAGAGGGGTGGGGGGTGGGGCTTAAGTTCTTTATATGAGGATAATTTTTTAAAGTAAATAACATACTGTATTTAAATGATAAGCACTAAACAAACATTGAGTTAAAAGGACATTTACTAAAAGAATAAATTAGCAAACGGAACAAGAAGAGTAAGAATTTCAAGGTTAAAACACCACTTCACAGGTGTGTGTGTGTGTGTGTGTGTGTGTGTGTGTGTGTGTGTGTGTGTGTCAATGTCCAGAGTCATGGTAAGGGAGACTGGCAGAGAAGAATAACAGAGTCTATGATAAAAACCCAAGAGACAGGAAGCATGAACCAACCAAATGGAAGACTGAGCTTCTCACATACAGAAATATCATTTGTCTACCCTAGAACTCATGTGTCTAGAGCATTCAGTGTATCTACAAAGCCTTTAAGTTGTAGCTGGTGTTCTTTGAGGCTTTGTATGTTTGAGATAGTTCATAGAGTTGTGGGTGCCCCTCCCTCATCTCCCCGTTCCATCAACCCACATTTTAATGGTGATCAGATTAAACAAGAGGGGTGTTCTGGATTTAGCACAGAGCATGGCTGAGAACTTGCCAAGACAGCTGAGGCAAACTGGAAACTCAAGAGTTGGGGAATCTTTCCCAGCATCTCTACCAACTCTCACCTCACTGAAGGAGAATCAGAGGCTCAGAGAAAAGTCCTGCCCTCCCTAATGTCATAGCACAATGATCAGAGGGAGCATCTGAACCTCAGACAATAAAACAATTCCCAATCTCTGAAGCTTAGTTCTGTGTAGTTAATAGTAAGTACCGAGGTCCAGTGGTCTCTATGTTTTCTTCAATCTCATGGATAATTACTATCTCCTCCTCTGAAGCTTGAAGACTCATGGAAACACCAGCAACGTCTTAGGTCAGCCTAGTCCCAGAACACCAAGGAACAAGATCGGTCTGAGGAAAAGACATCCTCCAGAACTCAGGAGATGGAGACAGATCCCTAGGGTTCTCTAGTCAGCCAGTCTAGCCAATCACAGAAAATAAGGGAGAGCGTGACAGACAGAGGAAAAAAAGATACCCAACTGGCCTCGGGCTTCTGCAGGCACATGCACAAGTGTGTACAACTACAACACACACACACACACACACACACACACACACACACACACGCACGAAAAAGTATGAAATAAAAAGAAATTTTGGTCTATCAATTACACCAACAACTTAGACCAGTTAGATTCTCTCTGTGATCCCCAAATTACTCCAACTCTTAAGTTAGAAATGTAGGGGAGACTGAGTCTCAAGAATCCCTCTGGTTTTGATATTCTGACTTGTCCTAACAAGCCTGATGACCATTCATACTGGATAACTCAAACAACAGGCCAGGAACTAACCTTTATTTAGTGGTGTTGGTAGTGAGTAAGCTTACCAGATCCTCGAAAATGGGAACGCTTTTTTATTATCCATAGGACAGTGATTCTTAACCTGTGGGCCACAACCCCTTTGGCAAACCTCTATCTCCAAAAATATTTACATCACAGCTCATCACAGGAGCAAAATTACAGTTATGAAGTAGCAACAAAATAATTTCATGGTTGGGGTCACCACAACATGAGGAACTGTACTAAAGGGTTGCTGCATTAGGAAGGTTGAGAGTCACTGGCATAGAAGGCTGACTTCCTTCCTTTCTGACTTGAAATTGCAAGTTGTTGCTGGAGATTGGAAGAGCCAGGTGCCCAATAATCAATTATAGAATACATATACTCTACAATTTACATCAGTAACTGTTCTCTGTTAGATCAAAGAATCAAGGGTTAAACACAATACCAATTTTCCACACAAGGCTCTGTGATGAAGACACAGGATTTCGGGAACGTGGCAGAAGGGAGACAGATAATATTCTGGTTACTAGAATATTGAACAGATGAAAATCCATGGACAACTGGTACACCTCTATCTATTAGCAGATGCTGGAATAGATTAGAGTGGGAAGATGCCTTGCTCAAGGTGATACAGCCAGCTGACATCAAGACTAGGGACAGTTACAGTCTCATTGCTTCCAGACCACATGACACACACACAGCATCACTGCCCAGAGCAAAGGAAGAAACCCACAATGACTACTGCTTCTGCCTCCACTAAAAAAAAAAAAAGCAATGGCTGATTAAGATTATTCAAGGCAGACCAAGACAATTTCCCAAAATTGAAAATTACCATCTCATACGGGCAATATATATATAAGTCCATGAGTACTAACTTGATATTATTCCTCTAATGAGTCACCATGGAGAAAATGGAGACAGCCAATGGTCTGCAGGAGGCCAGAAGTCAGCTCTTCCTCTAGTACAGAGACCAACGATTTGGAAATGATACTTCATGTTCTTTAAGAGTAAACAGGGTGTACAGTTTCAAATGCCATGAAGTGCAGCTTTAAATAGATTTGGTTTGGAAACGGGACAAGGAACACACCACAGTTGGTGGATCGACATCAAAAGCTGAGGGAAAACAATGATTACACTCATTGATATCCGCTGACATGTATACTGTCAAGTCTAATTCCCAACTTAAACTGCTATTCTTTATTATCCCCACTAATACCCATTTTTACCACAAGACTGTTTTACATGTGTACATCATGCTCCCAGAATATTCAGTTCTCCATCATCCAAAGGCTGAGATAATTCCATCTGTTAGTCCCTACCAGCCTATAAATCTGAAAGATAGGGATTACATTGCTGGATAGATAGAGACATGGATGGGTGACAAACAGATGCATAAATAGGTAGGTAGGTAGGTAGGTAGGTAGATAGATAGATAGAAAGACAGACAGACAGACACACACACACACACACACACACAGATAGATACGAAGAAGGATGGATGGATGGATGGATGGATGGATGGATGGATGGATGGATGGATGGATGGATGGATGGATGATGGATGGGTGGATGGATGATAGATGGGTGCGTAGGTAGGTAGGTAAATGAAATTCCCCATTTTAAAGAGCAATTTTTGTAACTTTCTAAGGTTTAATTAAAGTATCTTTTAGTCTTGAGACAGATTTCAGTGGGGAGAGTAGATGTAGCTAACTAACTAACCTTCAAAGCTTATTCTATCAGCACTTAATAAGTGCAAACTAAAGGGATAAACATGTGATAACCATAGTCCCTAAACAGCTCTCTAAAGCAGATCTCTGAAGTAGAAAATTTAGGTAGATTCACTTTGGTTTTTGTATTCTGACCTGTCTTAATCGGTCTAATGATTCACCCAGGGTAAGTCAGAGGACAGACAGGGAATCTCCCTCTTCTTCAGGGTATTCACAGAGGGTGAAATGGTCAGATCCACTGAAAGTTAGACCCATATTGATGTCAGAGAATAGAAGAAGGTTGATTTTCTTCCTTTCTTAACTTGAAAATACATGGGAGCTATCAAAAACTCTAACAAGGGAGGCCTTCAGGAAGTTCTCTTTTGATATATTTGTCCATGAAAATGATAGGTAGAAACAAGTTTTTGTGCAGACATTTTGTATAACATAGTAGGACTAAAAGAAAAAATTCTTACATTATTTTGCATACACGTTTCTAAATAACATTTTCTTTTGTAGGACTCGGAAAAAAATTCAACTACACTTGCAACTGAGTTAATTCTAAAAGTTTCTCAATTCATATCACCCACCTGTATCATATTTAGTATATTTGATAAATATTAGCTTTGAAAATCATGTTAGCCTAAAACCCTAATTCCCACTTGATTCTAAACTGGTAATTCCTGTGATTACGGGGCACTACCAACCAATTTCAGGGTTTTCTTTAAAGAACCGTGTGAAGTCATGTTTGCAATCCATCATCACTGAAATGGTACACCAAAGTTATTAACAAATGTTGACAGCAATCTAAAGAGTAACTCCAAATCTTAGACAGCTTTATACGTTGATGCCGCGGGTTAGGAATATCATATTGATGACTTCAACTTCCGGTGAAGAAAGCCTAAAAGATCGTAATGAACACAGCAGCATCCCTGGGAGGTGGACATGCCAGCAAGCTGCCTATAAGTAAAACTAGAAGAGTTGAACTGAAGATGTTCCTTTTCTCTTCCAACAACCTCCGTTTTCTCAGCAACTTCATGAGGAGGTTCTCTGCAAGGATCTCTCTGTCCTTTGCAATGGACCAACGGAGGGGCATGAAATTACAAAAGCCTAACTCACTTTCTGTGTTCCTACTTCATTGCCACATTGCAATCTTTGATGCACAACTAGATGGTTATCAGGCATATACAATGACTAACCAACCCCTAGAAGCATTCTGTAGTTCACTCAGAGCCAAACAATTCTGGCAGTATAGTATAATAAAAAGTACACTCAAAGAAGGAAAGCTGAGGAGACAAGGTGGAAAGTCTGCTTGCAATACACTAGCCAATGACACGATAAAACAGTGGAGAAGACCATCCTACTGTATAGCACCACTGTGGATTCTCAAATGTTCATTAAATGTCAATTTTGCATATTGTCCAGATGTTTCGCTTTTAGGTGTTAAAGGGGTAGAAATTGAAAAGCAAAATTAAACCAAGAAGACATAAATGGAGGGAAAGTTACAACCTTGGATATTTTTCATGATTCTCTTGACCATAAAGTACTTATGTGTGTCTTGCATTGGGAATCAGCCTTTAGCATCATGGGTTCAGGGGTCTATTAGCATTCTATAATTGCGAAGACTCCAATCCTCTCTTACCTGAAGCAGCTTCTGGCTTTAGGGATGGACAATGGACACAGGCTCAGCCAGATGATGGGCTAGTCTCTGTAAATTAAACAGGCAGAAGTCACTTGAAGGCACTGGACACCAAGCCTACTTTAATCCATCAGTAATAAAAACAGTATATTCTGCAAAACATGTCCACATTCATGATCTCATTTCACCCACATGAACGTGATAAAGAAATGGGAAGAGATTATTCTACTCACATATGATGGAGGTAGAACTTCATAGAGGGGCAGAGAATGAAAAGGTAACTGGTAAGTCTTGTGAAGAACTTCACAAATATAACATGAAAAACAGTCATCAGTTCAGAAACGATGACTTGCCCAAGAATATACACTACAGTACAATACGTGGCAGAGTATGAATTCAGAAGGAGGAGCTTTGCCACTGGCCTGGTGATCTCTATTCATTGCCTCAGTTTCTCCTCGGTCATGAGGCTACGGAACACAAACAACTCACTCACCTGATCTTTAAGTCTTGGTAGAGGAGGATACTAAAGTCAAATCAGCAATGTGACTGCCCTGAGGAACGGGAAGAGCACATGGCATTTAGACCTAGTCAACTGTCTTCCTCTCTCCAATGGCCTTGGGCAAGTTACTAAAGTTCCCTATTAACTTCCTCATATGAGAATGAAGATTATCTCTATTATCTAGTCAAAACTGTCCTCAGCTAAACAGGGGCAGGGAGATTTTCCTCCACATCCACAGTGGCCATGTACAAAATGTTAATATTTCTTTTTATGAGCCAAACACACACTACTAGAGCATATCCCAAGATGGCTATTTCTGTGATTCATGGTCCTAGTTTTAACATACCATGAAATTATCTATGTCATTCTTAAGTGGCCTCAACACACCGCTCCCCCCACCCCACCCCCAACACACGAATGCACATGAGCATTCATGCACACACACATGGTAACAAAAATAAAAATAATATTAGAAACTCGAGGGTTTTCTCAAACCCCAAAAGCTTTAGGCAGCAGGGCTGCTCCTGGTGTACAGCCTTTCCAAGCCTGTGCCCACAGCATTGCCCGAGGCTCAAGGAGCTGGAGCTGCTGAGAGAAGCACTGGAACAGAGAGAACTCGTTTGATATTTTACATGGACAGATTGAAACCTCGTTCGCTAAAATGTCCAGTTTTCATAAAGCATTCAAAATGCAGTTGGAAAACATGGCTGGTAAGATGCCCTGCCAGAAACTCATCTCCTACCCCCAAAATCAAAACCTTAACTAGCCTTTCACGTCACACTTTATTTTGTAGTCTACAAAACAGTACATGCTAATTACATCCTAAACCATGTTCATCATATGCTCAATGAGTCCTCACCGCTCCAATTTTACAAACCTAGCAACCAAGCTTCAAAGATCACAAAACTAACACAGAGCAGATGAAAATTTAACCTTGAACCCTCATACCAAACATTTGCCTCTTATATGAGGTGAGAAGGCTCCTGATTAGAGAGAGCGACTTACTTCAGGAACTGGAAAACAAGTAGGTAAAACAGAAACTGCACTTAAGCAAAGAATGCAAAATTCAGAAAAATAAGTATCTCCTGTTTTCTCGCATATGTGGGATGAAAAATAGAGATTTTAGAACAAAAGGGAGGGGGAGGATGGGCAGGCAGGCAGGCAAGCAGGCATTAAAGTTAAAAAGATCCCACTTGAGAACAGGAAACTGATAGAGTAAAAGGGAACAGGAGTGGATGAAATACGGGAAAATAGGAGTAACGTGCATTGTATACACGGTGTACAGCTCGTGATGAAAACCAGTCGTGTGGACAAACAATAGACACTAATTTAAAAATTGACCCCAAAAATGCACTTTAGTTTGGGATCATGCCTCACCACCTAGTAAAAGGACAGAAACAACAACTTCACATCTGTGGTCTCAGCAGAAAGTGACACTTGACTAAGCACAGTAGAGAGTTCAGTTCTGGGTTAGTTACCATGAACACTTGCTCAGGCCTCCCCAGCACAGTTTCACAGATGCATCGTCCTCACCCAAGGTGTTAACACACAAGCCACTAAACAACATCTACAGCGGTGGTTTTCATACAGACTTTCATCCAAACCTCCCCTCACAGGAGTGAAAAGCTGAAGCCTTCTAGCCATGCAGTCACCAGCCCATGCACATGACTGGAGTGTTATGTGTCCTCTGCCGATCTCAGGTGTTTCAGAAGGCAGTGGAACTCTTCTTAACCCACAAGGCGACAGGACAACTGGCGAATCCCATGACAACCTCTGGCAATGAAGCCAGAGCCCCTTGGTTACTTCGGGGATGTCTGGTTTGCTGACCCACTGGAATAGATGGGTCATTTCTCCAATATCTTTCCTCTCCCAAGAAGAATATTCTCACCTCCAGAAGCAATTTCAGCCAAAAAAAATAAAAATTAAAAAAATCTATATATTCAAGCTCAAACTTGTAAATTCTCAACCTATTAATTGGAATTTATATAAATCTAGACTCAGAACCTAGCTGAAACTAAAACAACATTATTAAAATTTTGTTTTAATCACGACAAAACCAAGAAGAAACATAAAATCTGTGGTAGAAAACAATAGAGAAAACCAAGTGGAATGCTTGACTATAAGGACAGACGTGTGTGCCCATGCGCGCACACACACACACACACACACACACACACACACACACACACACACA